AAAAAAAAAAAAAAAAAAAAAGCTTCTTCCATATGGAGGGATTGGGTGCGCTGGGCGCGGCGTCCCCTGCCTCGTCCGCCCGCCGCCGCCGCTGCCACCACGGCTCCCGCTCACCGCCGCGGGAACCCTGAGCCGGGTCCCGCCGGTGTCAGCTCCGGCCGCGCGCGCGCGCACACACACACGCGCACACACACACACACACACACACACACACACACACGCTCTCGCCCCGCGTCCCCGCCGCCGTGGCCGCACGAGCCCTCCCTCCTCGGCCCGCACCTCCCGGGTCCCGGGCTTCTTTGTTGCTCCGGCCGCGGCCACTCTTTCCCGTGGCGAGGTGTCCCCGTGTGTCACCGCGCCGTGCGCGTGTGCGGGTCGGTGCCGCGCGGGGCCGTGTGGCCCTCTCCTCTCCATCCACCACGCGAGCCCCGGAGCCCCGGTCCCCGTCTCCCCGGGCTCCGGCTGCACGAGAGGTGAGTCATGTCGCTCAAGTTTGTTTTCTTTTCATAAAAAAAAAAAAAAAAAAGTTGTGTTTATTTGTTGGTTTGGGGCTGGGAGGCGTGTGGGAGGCGGCAGCCCGCCCCGCGGTGCCGAGGGCTCCCGCGAGCCTTGCTGCCGGGCGCCCGCAGGCTCCGGGCGCTGGGCTTGGGACTCCGGACTGGGGCTCCGAGCTCTGGGCTAGGGCCGGGGCTGGGGCTGCGGGGGCTTGACCGGGGTTCGAGCTGGGGGTCTCCGAGTGTTTTGCTGGGGCTCCGACGGGGTCTGGCTCCCTGGGCTGGGGCTGGAGCACTGATCCGGGGCTCAGCTCGGATCGCTGAGCTGGGCTCGGTCTGGGGCTCCGAGCGCTTGACTGGCTCCGGCTGGTGTCAGGGCCTGACGCGGCCGGGCGCACCGAGTTCCCGGGGCCGCCACTGTCCGCGCTCCGCTGCCCGGCCCGGGAGCGCCGCGCCTGCGTCTCCAGCCGGGTCTGGCTGGTTTCGCTCCCGGGATTCCCGGAAGCCGCTCCGGTGTTAGGAGGGCGCGGACATCTTCCCAGACTTACTCCGAAGAGCTGACACGGTGCCCCAGCTACCCAGCCAGGCGGTGGGGACAAGCCCACAGGCAACACCCCATTTGCCTCTTTGGGGGAGAAGTTATCACTGGCGTGTGGAAAGGAAAACCCTAAGTATAAGGGACTGAGGGAGACCAAAAGCTAAATAGAGGATCTCCCCCTACCTTGGCTGGACCAGTGGATGGGAGACACTGAATTGGCATCCGGAGGTGTTTGTCCGAGATAAAGCATCAGCAAGAGGGGTGTGTGTGTGTGTGTGCCTAGTGTCCCACTGGGGTTGTGCCCTGGGGATTTTGTTTCTGTTAACTGTGAGAAGGGAAGTGACTTTGTGGGTCAAGTGGGAGAGAAGGCTGTGGAAGGGAGGGAAAAACGGGGGATTTGGAAGAGTCTGTTAGTTTTCCAGGTGAAAAAGAACTGTGAGGGGTGGGAGGCAGGCAGAACTGGGGGAGGGGGGCTAAGAGGGCCTTGGAGGTGGTTCTGTTGAACTTCGGAGATGGTGTGGCCCATGCCCAGTCCCATGAAACAAAAGTTGTGCTCCTCTAGAGATGTGGCAGTTACGTCTAAGAATACCCAAACCACACACCAGCAATCCCAAACAGGCACTTTCTGGGTGTGGTGAGGTGTTCTGAGCTCCCCTATCCCTTCTCTTCAAACTCCCTTCCAGGAAGTTTTTGAACTGGAGCTCCCTCTTACAGGATTCAAGGAAGAGTATGTTCTGTTTCAGACCCTGTGCCTGGAATGGCCTGGACCAGCACATCTGTCACTTAGCTCTTTGTTGTCCTGGATTTTGAAAGCATAGGCCATTTAATAAATGTAGCATTAAGAATTCTTAACTATGTAAACACTTTGATTTATTCTACTACTGGGTTCTAATTCTAAGTCCAGTGCAGGGATTCTTCCTTTCCTTCCTTCCTTCCTTCCTTCCTTCCTTCCTTCCTTCCTTCCTTCTTACCTACCTTTCATTTTCTTTTTCTATCTCTTTGGTTTGGCCAGTAAGTCTTTCTTCCTTTTCTCAAGAATAGTGTGGAAGGCACTCTAAAGTCCTGTTGCACCAATGTGAGGGGCTCCGATGCCCATACATCTGGATGCCCTGTTTTCTGGGCTTTACTTAAATTGAAGCAAGAGGTTGGCCATTTTGAGGTGTGTAACAGGGTTCCCAGGAGCACTCTGAGGTCTTATAATTGGCCCTTTTTAATGGTCCTATAATTGAGACCCAGGAGGTTCCCATGGTAATCTTGAAGTACTCTGGGGTCAGCGGGACAGAGTTGGGGTGGAAAAAGCAGTAGAGTTGTGATTTCCCAGCTTATATAAGTTTTTAGAATGAGTTTATGCAAACAGGCAAAAAATAAAATGAGTTATAGTTCTCTCCCTGCACCTCTTGGCTGGCCCTGCCAGCTCCTGTGGAGACTCAGGATTTGTCCCTTTAGGAAGAGTCTAGGGGCTGCCTATACCTTTGCCATCCAAGGACTGAGATCTCAGACACTGCCCCTTTGACCCAAGTTTATGATTTCTCAGGAAGACAGCACTGCAAGAGACTGTCACTCAGGGGAAGAGGCCAAATCATGGGCCTTTAGAAGTAAATGTTGACAGTCCAGGATACAGTTCTTTGACCACAGCTAGGGAGGAAGAGTCTAGGGGACAACCTTGAGAGGACCCTGCTTAGCTGCTAACTGGTTGGCCAATTCATGATAATGACTGTAATTTATGTCCCTTTCCATCCTCCAAATGGGTCCAGAGGTTTCATTGTCTTTGAAGTGTTTTCCCCCCTTTTTCCTCCAGTGGCATGAGATCCCTGCTCTCTTCAGAGGCTTCTCTGTGGTTTCCAATGCCTGACATGAATAGGAGATTTTATTCATGAAGTAGTTCTGTTGACTTCCCCCACGGGCTCCTGGGGTTTAAGAAAAGAGGGCAAGAAGTAAGCCTAAGGATCATAGTATTCCAAGGGCCCTGGGGGGCCTGGGTTCAAATTTCAGCAGTCACTGATATGCTTAATGACTTAGGGTTTTATCTCTGTATCTTTCCAACAACAGCAGAAGACCCAACTGCACTTGATAATTACTGTTTACTACTTTTTGGTCTCTGAATAAGAAAGAGTTAACCAGGTTTCCAAAGATGTTATTATACATTTGGGAGTTTGCTTTCTTTCCTCCATACTCTAAGCTCCCTTATTTTGGGGGAAAGGAATGGAGATGGGAGAGGAAAGAGTGATAATGTTTCCATTTTGAAAAACACATTTACTCTAACATAAATAATGTATTATCACTTCTACACTCAAATATTTACAGGGCATCAGACACCAGGATGATGGGAGCTTCCTTCTCCCAGGAGAGTAAGGTTTGTTTTCACCCAAAAGTAGTTCTCCCTGGCTTTTATTGATTATATAAATGTCCACTACTACTCACAAAACTTTTTATAATTACCCATAATCTCATCCAATAATCAACTTCTTGCTTTTCATTTGTGCATATGTACCTTCTGCAGCTGTGATGAAAGTGTAGACTGTTGTCACCAGACACTTCTTAAGTATCTTTATAATCTGACCAAAGACTCACATATTATATATTATATATATATATATAATATATAATATATATCACATTGCTGTTGGTAGGAATAAGTCAAACCCTATGAAACCCTAACATGTAATATTTTTATAATTTGTGTGCCTGAATCAAATGTTTGGAGTAGGGGAGTTTGGTGGAACATGCTTGTTTAAATTTAGAAATCCATGCTTACAAAAACTTTCCTAGGAAAGAATTTTGCCTCTTTGGATCCCTCAGGGTTGGCTAGAGTACGGAGGTGGAACGCAGGAAGGAAACTCTAAGGATGTCTCAGGTGGCATGAGTACCAGCCCTGAAACTCCATACACACCTGTACCCTTCACAGTCAGCCTCCTTCGTCACACTTGTCCCATCTTCCTTGCTCTTTCTTTGGTTATGCTGCCAACCCCTCTTCATTCCCACTCCCGCCATACCTGCCCATGCACCCACCCTGTGGCACAGTCCCATTCCCAGTTTGACACTCAGCTTTAAAATCCAATTCCCCCAGCCTTTTATATGTGATCCATCCCACTCTGTGCTACTAAAACCCTCTGGCCATTGCTTTCTGACGAGCTTATTCCTTGTCAACCAGGGCCCTATCCTTATTAAGCATGAGGCCTGGTTATGTATTTTTAAGAAGCATTTTTTTTTTTTGTAAATGTTAAGGAAAGTGGACCGCTGGATGCAAAGATAGTGATTTGTAAAATGTAATCATTATTCTTTATTGCTCATTGTTTCTAGAAAGGAGGTAGGTAACTGGAAAATTAAAGAGACTTGTGAGCTTAGGAAAAAATATTTTTCTTCTTTCTTATTCATAAAATGGATTAATGAGGGATTGCTGTGGCTTATAGCACCACACCTTATAAACAGCAAGGACTTTAGAACTCTGTTTATTTTCATTGCGCACAGATGAAACAGCTTTTTTCTTCAGCCTTGGAACAGGTTTCATGGACTCCATGACCCATGAGGTCTTGTCAGCATTCACCTGAGGGTAGTAGTGATGAAGTAGAAAACATAGGTGATTTTCATTTCCTTGTCTTCTCTCTCTGGCCTGATGGGTCAGCTATTTCTTCATCATCAACAGTGCTCAACAAAGCAAGACAACAATGCTTCTCGTCTATTAGCGCTGGAAGAGGCCAGCTTTGTGTGGAATGTAGATTTCTGATAGGTTCTAGCTGCTCATACACTCTTGTATACTGAGCCTGTGGTGGCCATGTGAACCCCCTCTCCCAAGGCAAACCCTGTCAGATATGTGGGAGACAGATCATTAATTAAGAGATCTGGAATCCAAGCTTGCTGTGGAAAAGTCCAACGTGGGTTTGGGTGAGGAATGCCAAGTGTTTATGGCTCTGTCAGTGGTATCATAGTGAATGCCTTGTGGTCTGATGTACCAGGCATTGTTTATCTCACACACACACACACACACACACACACACACACACACACACACAAAACAGAAGGATTCTGCTTCTTACTGTCCACTAAAATATAGCGAGGGAATAATTTCTCTTTTCCTAATGGCAAATTTGGCCTTATCTTCAAAGAAGGCCTTTGATGTTTGGGACAAAATTATTGGGCAGAAAGAAGAAATCATAGCAGTGATGCAGAATGAATTCATTCCAGTTGCCAGAGGACATGTTGAGAAAGTAAGAGAAGACTGTGGGATAAGCAGTATGGCGAAGAATAACCCCAAGGAAGCCGGGCAGTGGGAATATGGCAAAAGAGCATTATTCTTCTCAAGAGAGTCTGGACAATGAGGGTGAGGGAGTGTAGCCAGACTGGAGCCTTCATCCTTTCACTGGCTTTTTACTGCATATGTGCTGTGCCCCAGGCGTCATGGCATGAGCCTTGCCAGCCTTCTTCAACAGTTCATCTCTAACCC